GGTGTTAGTAATAACTTCATGATTTTAAAAGCTCCAGTCAGGTTATGTCTTTAAGATGTTTTTGTATTATTTTCTTAAAGTCCTGTGGTGATGATGATGGTGACACTGTGACCTACAGCACTGTGAAAGCATCCTCTTCACCTGCTGGAATTTCCCCTGATCCCAACAACCTCTACTCCACCATCAGTTACCCAAAGAAATAGGATGTTACTCATGCTAAGTTTTTTAACCCAGATCAGCTCACTTATTAGTTTTGGTAACTCTGAGTCAAGAGTCAAACATTAAGTTATGTGATTATGTTTACTTGAGAATACAAAGACTGCAGGATTACTTTTTCATACCACTGCATGTGCTCATAGAGTCAGTGGATTACTTTGAACAAGGTGAACATTATTACGATGAATATTATTACATTGAATATTATTACATTAATATACAAGGTTTCTTAAATCGATTTAGGTCATTTAAAAAATGTTTTTAAGTAGAATATAAAAACAAGTAAACAAAAAACCAAACCACCACAAAACACAAAGTTACAAATAGTGTGCTAGTGAAAATAACATGTCTGATTGCACATGCCTAGTTTGTGGGATTAATTTCAATGTTAACCAGAATCCTTAAATAGTAGTTACTGTTTAAGGGCTCTGGTGATCTGTCTTACTATGCCGTGCTGACTTCCTTTCCACCTTTATGGTACAGTAAGAAGAATCTGAGCTTTTTAATGCATGCTAAACTTTTTGCTATAAATATACCAACACTGCAGCAGTGCTTTCAATGATATCCTGTGATTATTGGAGTCAATACAGTTACATAAGTGTATGGGTTAAAGTACACTTTGGTCTATGCACAGACAAAGTATGTGATGGAACAGCATAGTTAGCAGGTGACACAGCAAATATTCAGACTCATGTGACTCATATGACAGTGTTAGATAAATGAAAATATTCTGCATGTTCATATAAATACATTAATGAAACACTGCACTAAGATTAACATTAAAAACTAGATCACAGTAGTGATCTCCCTACAACTGTTTAATTCTGGAGCAATTTGCACTAAAAACAGAACTGTGTAAATGTTAGACTTTTCATTAGGCTGACATTTGGTAGTAAGTAGTAAGTGTGAAGTATAAGTAAACTGTTTTCTTTTCCAGTTTCATTAAGAAATTTATGATTACTCACTGATTGTACACCAAACTTTATGGTTCTTTCCCCCCAGTTTCTTAAATTCTTATGGACAGTGAATTCAAGAAAGAAAAAAACAGCAAACAGACATTTGTCACCAGCTGTCTTCATGAGAAGTTCACAGAAAGAAGAAGTGCATGATATGTATGTGGTCAGCATTAGAGGGTTAAACCTCCACAGCTCTGCATATCCTCACCAAACCACTTCCCCTTCACAAAAAAATACATACAAAAAAAGAGACAGGAAAGAAAAGGTTCAATGGGACCACCAATACATTTTAATGGGTTTTGTTGGTTGTTTTTGTGCAATACTCTTTCCTGGCATCGTTGTATTATACTCAATTGTATATAGCATTTGTATTCTATTTTATTCTATTGTATGTAGTATTTTATTTTTTTTATTCTACTATGTACAGTTCTGCACAGTATCTTATTGATATCTTATTCCAGTGGGATTTTTTTTCTTCTAATTTGTCTATGTAAGTTTGCACTGTCCACTGCTGTAACAAAACAAATTTCCCACGCTAATAAAGGTTATCTTATTTTATCTCATCTTATCTTATCTTTTTCCTAAATGCTAGCACTGGTGACACATGCTGCACATTCCCTATTTTATCTTTTATGATGGAAAATATCTGCTCTATCTCAGTTATTGAGCAGGGAGAGGACATCAGTGACAGTAACTGATATTTTATTACATAGTATGTTTTTTTTTATTTTATTTTTTGCGGCCTGTCTGAGACCTCAGAGCACAGTATCAGCTAGCATTTAATGTTTTCTCCAGTTATCCTTCCTGTTCTTTCATCTCCAATTTTAAATATTTAATTAATGCTTTGAACAGTTTTGTTTGTACTGACCCTTTTCTAAATAATGCATGAATGGCTCTCCTTACATTTCAGCTGTTATATGATTGCAAATTATACTCAGACAGCATTAAAAAACAAGATAAAATGATCTAATATATGTTGAGAATTGTGTGAAACCTCAACATAGT